AGGTCGCGGCCATCATGATGATCAGGATCCTCAGAAGATAATGAATCATGATCACCGTCATCGTCGCATCACCTTTATGCCGACATGAACCACAAAAGAGGGAGACATGCATGTGCCAACAGATCGTAGATATAGTATATATGTGTGCCTCGATAGACTTCCTTTTCAACATCGTAAGCCTCCTATTGTTCGTCGCGGATCTAGTTCAGCCTGTATTGCACGCTCGCTCGAATGGACTGGCCTTGATTTTTTCCTTCAGCCAGAACCTCTTCACGACTAGGGTCATGTCAGTGGCAGTCATAGGTTCCAGTGGTCTTATCCTGCAGAGTTTTGTCGGCTCTTGTGGGATGCCCTAAAGCCTACATCGCAGCCACAAAGCTCTTTGCCTCGGTCTGAGGATGAGGGTCTCGGCGGAGGTGACGAGGAGGAAGAAGGCCGGCAGTCGCGGAAGTTTTGCAGGGGACGATCTACAGACAGTTTATAAAGGAGGGTTTTTAGAGTTTTAGGCTTTCGGGGCTTGGGGATTACGCAAGAAAATCCGTGCAGCTATCGAGAGAACATGCTTGCCGTGAAGGTCACAAGACATGAGATGCCACAAACTTCAACCTAATGACGGAATGGCCTCAGGTCTGGAAAGCCTCGGCGTGGGGTCCTGAGACTATGAGACTGTGCGAACAAGCATCTACGCGGTTTGAAGTGCAGGATCTCGAGGAAAGCCCAAAGGTGACATCCGTTATGCAAAGCAGGTGCTCATGCTGAAGCTGAATGGAGTCTAAAGAGTCCTAAACCCTAAACCCTAAACCCTAAACCCTAAACCCTAAAGAGTCTGACCACTTCTACTGCTACTGCTCCTCTCTTACTCCTACTGCTACTCCTACCCCTACTGCTACTGTTGCTGCTGCTGCTACTATTACTACTACTACTACTACTACTACTACTATTGCTACTACTGCTACTGCTGCTGCTACTGCATATTAATCATACTAATAAGAATAGTAATATATATAACAATGATATGCAGGGTAATGATGACAACCATAATAAGAAAAGGACGAAGGAGAACACGAATGCGAATACAAATGCTCATGCTAATACTAATACAGTCCTGATACAATGCCAGCGCTAATACTAAGACTATGGCTGCTTCTTCCACACTTACGAAAGCGACTACGACATCGACGACGAGGAGGAGGACGACTTTGACGACTACTACTGCTGCTCCTGCTCCTGCTCCTGCTCCTGCTCCTGCTCTTCTGCTGTTGCTACAGCTACAACCGCTATCACCACCACCACCACTGTTTCTATTTGCTGGTACTGCTAGCAAGATTTGTGCGTTTCTCAACGATAATCGCGGTGGCAAGCTTTCCAGACGATTTCTGGTCGTCATGATGAAATAGCAATGGACGCTGTTTTATCAAGCCGCGCGATCGGTCGAGACCGCAATGTTCTTCTGAAAGGTGCCGCTCAACTCCGTCGTCAAGGCCCTCCTGAGCTCTGGGTTCCGATAGCCCTGGGTTTCAGATGGGAGCATGGAGAGAACAGTCATACACAATGGGATCAGACTGGCGAAAGAAGCCCAAGGAATGGAGCTGTTGTTCGGTTGTTCCTATGTCATACCCTACAAACGCACGGCTGGGTTCCCGTCGCTTCAATTGAGAACTGGTCACCAATAAGCGTCAACGATTGTCATGTAGGTTGTGTGTTCTGACAGGGGTGCTGAGCGGGAGGACATGGGGTGCTGTACTCTGCAAGGGTACCTGGAATCTGCATGAGGTTCAACTATGTTCAACTGCCCATGATGAAGCCTCAGCTGCCATGTTCAAACCTCAACATGCTGGCTTTCTTGGTTCATTCGAGTTGGCGACCTTGCGCTAGCGGGCGTCAGTTGCTGAAGTCCACAGGGTCGCAGCTAGCCATCGCCCAAGAGCGAACCTTGTGTGATTTGTTGTTTTATCTTGGGCGTCCAACTTTAGTTGCTTCGGGCCTGTGCTGGCCATTGGTAGCGCTTGCACAAGCAAAAGCTACCAGGAACCAAGCATCCGAAATGTGCACGAAATCTCAGGACCCTGTAGGCACCCTCCATTGCTCGTACGTTGCGCTGACCCCTATGAACCTGCGGAGCGTGGGCAGGTTTGGTGCGTGCACAGTACGCCCAACTTTTCCCTGCCTTGGCTGCCGACTCGGGCCGGGGAGGATGTTGCGAAGGAGAGTCGTTGTCTTGTCGTTGCTGTTGCGGTTGTGGTTGCTGGTTGCTGGTTGCTGGTTGCTGGTTGCTGGTTGCTGGTTGCTGGTTGCTGGTTGCTGCTGCTGCTGCTGCTGCTGCTGCTGCTGCTGCTGCTGCTGCTGCTGCTGCTGCTGCTGCTGCTGCTGGCGTGTTGTTGATGTTTCTGATTGTTGATGCTTTGATGCTGTTGCTGTTGCTGTTATTGTTGTGGTTGGTGTTGTTGCTGCTGTTGTTGATGATTGTTCTTGTCATTTACATCCTTGGTATTGTTCTTGTCCTTGTGTCCTCAGTGGAGCTGTTGTGTTCATGATTGTTCTTGGTCAGTTCTCAGGTGTAAGGACGATGGTAGTTTTAACTAGTCAGCGGCGTTGACGTAACTTTCTTAAGGTTAACGATGTTGGCTATACTCTCTATTGTAAGTCGGCGTGGCCTCCTGAAGGCAAAGAGGACGAAGGTGAGATTCTGCTTGTAAACATGACTACGGTGTTGTAGTCGCAACACAGCTGCTGCACCGCTGGCAGCAGTACTCGTAGTCGCAGAGGCACTGGTGATAAAGCCCACAACTGAAGAGGTGCAGCCAATGCAGAGGAGCTGTTGAACCTAAATACCCTATCTAATGTGTGATATAAAATAGCATAATATACTATAATATCATATATCTAGACTGACTTCGGAGCCGGCGTGTTTCCGACCTATTAGGGTCGATTGGGTCTCAGAATCCAGTGTGAGAAGCACAGAGACTGAGGCAGAGACGGCGGCAGTATCGCTCCAGCCGGGAATCGCAGCAGTCGGAGTGTTGGTTTGGCGTGGGGTTGCCTGTTTCTGCTTTGCAGGAAAGCAGTTCTTTTTTTGCGAGAATCCAGCATCTGCTGGGCTGTATGCCTTGGACCAGCTCTTGTCTGAGTGCGTAGACACAGCAAAGGTGGCAGTGGCTTCATCATAGACACAAGTCGCCGGGCCTCGGCCTCAGGAGCAGTGGTGTTCTGTGCAGTGCAGACTCAGGCGATTCAGGCAGTTGCGCAGCCAGCACGAGAAGTTTCACTGCCACGACTCACCGAAACGCAAGTCCCAGATTGGGAATCCTGTTTCCGAAGTTTGAGGCACTGACCATTGTGGGCGAGTAGGATCATTCAGCAACCGCTTCGCTCGGAAACTCAGGTCATCCTGACCAATGCCCACTGCATCGAGTGGCACGCGCAGGTGAAAGTGCAGCAGCGAGGACCGGAAGCTCAGCGTTTCCGTTTGGCCATGTCTCAGCAACGTAGGCCATATCATGATTTTGAAGTCAGTCAAGGTCGAAAACCGCAAGATTTGCTTCCGTTTGTCATCACTATGTTGCAAGCGACAGCCGCACAGCACAACAGCACTGCTGGTCGAGAGCGGGCACGCAGCTTGGGCGTGTCAGATCAGTGCGACGCCCCTCCTACCTTCGGCCAGGCCAGGATACGAAGTACCTGGCTCGTGTCGTATCAGTTGGATGGGAGGCCGGGCATGCTTTCTCGCAACAGGGACGCCCAGTCAGGCCGAAAAGTTCGCCTGAATCAGAAATTACTGCACAGATTTTTGCTCAGAACAGCTTTGTCATGTCAGCTGTCTGACTGCCAGCTGCAAGGCACGGCATAAGCCCAAGCTGAAAGCCTGTTTGCGAGCGACCCTGAAGCACTGAAGCAATCAGATCATGTTTTCGATCCAGTTAGTTTCGGAGCAGACTTTCGTGGGTCAATGCATTAGCCGTTGTCTTTGTCAGGCGGACTGCGCCGTTCTCACTGTAGAGGCAGTGGGAAACCGTGTGGCAGGATTCAGAGCTTCAGGTGGGGCGTTCGTAAGAGGTGAGCGTAGCAAGATTGGAGCTGCAAAGAGCCTTTCGTCACAGAATATTTAATCATCCTGCTACTGCGAGCGGTGGTAGAAGCAGCAGGTCATCAGCAATTTCTTAATTGGACAGGGCTGAAATTGGCACGCCGAGGTCAGGGTACCTTCGAGTTTTCAGTTTCAATTTGCGCGCTTGTTGTTTTAACACGGCTGCCCGAGAGGCTCAACTTCTTAAACCAACGATTTCTGAAGCAGAGTTATTGCGGACGACTTTTATTTGGGCTTAATGGCTGATGGTTAGGGTCTTTGCTGGTCGAAAACCGGTGGCAGGTTGGCGATGATAGTGAGGAACAACAAGAGAAGATTTCGCTGCTGCTGATGATGATGATGGTGATGATAATGTTGTTGTTTCTGCTGCTGCTATGATGACGAGCATGGTGTTGATGATGAGGCGGAAGAGGGAGGAGGAGGAGGACGGCGATGCTGCTTGCGGTGAGAGTGGCGATGAAGAAGAAGAGACTGTGCCAGTACAGGTGCCAGTCTGTCGCCACGTGAATCATTCCAGGACGATGAGTTCTGGCGCGATATAAAAGCTGTCCAGACCTCGATTCGCCGAGGAAACAGGTAAACTAGTTAATGCAGTCAAAACTAATTAACTAAGCTTGGCGGTGAGGACTTTGGAGGTTGGTTCCTGGGCATAGGTGTGGGATAAACTGCTGCGTTGATAGAGCCCACGGGTGCGCAGTGACCAATTGCGCGCGAGAGTAAAGTGAAGCAGATTTGATGCCTGGCACAAGACTTGATTTTGTGGTTGGATGTTCGGCTCTTCTTGATGAGCTCACTGGCCTTCGACTTGCTCTTTCGCAAATTGCCGAGCAGCTCCTCGTCGAGGGAAGATCTGCTAGAGGCGAATCTGCAAGCATCCAAGTCTTTCACTGATTTGCGCGGAGCTGCCTTCACCAAGGTCCAGCTGAGCAAGAAAGTCCCGCATCTGGAGGAGTTGCCGTGTTGCCAAAGGCATGGCTTCGATGCCAATCCCCTTTTGACCCAAAGGCTCAAAGGCTTAAACCCTCCAAAACATAGACCCCGAATTCATCCTGAAACCAGCTTAAGCCCTAAACCCACAAGACATGAGCTTGCCAAGCAAAGCCGTGAAGCTTCTGTGGCTTCAGCAGGAGCACGTCCTTTGTGTCGGCTTCCCTGTTGGCGGCGACACCATCAGCGTCACCAGTGGGGTCGGGCTTCCCGTTCACATCACCTTTATCATTACTAATATTCTCCATTCGGGTTTCTGAATTGCATTTATCCGAAGATACTGCTGTTCTTGTGGTTGTTGCTCTAAGCCTTTGGCCACTGCTGCACCGTCGGTTATTAGGTGTAGCATGTTTGTCTTTCCGTGGCGTTTCTGCACATCTCCAGCGAGCCAGGGGCTTTGATTCCGGGCTCGGGATTCGCCACATGGGTGGTTGTCAAAATTATGGTCCCTTTTTGGGTCCTTATTATAATACGGCACCTATTATTTAGGGTACCCCAAAAGGGACCATCATTTTGATAACTACCCACATGTGCTCGACACAGGTCGTGTCGCGGGTTGAAGTCATGACGTATGCCGCAGCCTGAGAGTGCTCTCAGCTCGAAGACCACCCAAAAAGTTAGAACATAACTTCCACTAAATCTTAAGAAAATAATATTCCTGAGGAAAATGACTTAAAGAACACATCTACATATGTTAGCAGGGAAAATGGATTACACGAACTTGAACTTCATACAAAATACAAGCCAAATACATTGTTAAATTATACAACCTGAAGAGAAACGTAATAGAGTGTAATTTCAAGATCGCAGAGTTGCGAAAGTTAAAACAGGTGTATTCTAATATTTTTGATGCGCAGGATTCCGACAAGATTTTACGAGACATTCAAATGCTAGAAAACAAAGCTAGAGAAGATCAGGAGCGAATAAAAGAATGCTCAAATGATTGAACACACTGACATTCTTTGTAATTCAGAAGGCACTTATGATACTACGTATTTAGAAGAAAAACCCATAAATGCAAAATCTTGGAAAAACCTAAGCATTCAGGAGATTGAAACCCAGTGTGATCATCTCATCAATCCAAAATAATATTCCGCCCNNCCCCCCCCCCCCCCCCCCCAACAACGTAAAACTATAATGTAATTACAATACATAAGCAGGTATATAATATCATTACAGTATAGTTATAGCATTCTTGAAGAATCCGAGAAGATAAAGCTTTGATACACCCTTAAACCAAATTCTACAAGGAACC